TTCACCACATCTATCTAATCCACAATAAAACCTATCAGTTAAGAAATCATTAGTAGAATGAAAATCAGAAGAATGAAATCAGTACTGATGATCAGAAAGTAAGTTACTGATGATCAGAAATACTGATAATCAGTGCTGATGTAATGACCATCAAAAATTATGATCAATACTGATATCATCAGTAATGATGATCAATGTAACTAATGTAATGATCATCAAAAAGTATAATCAATACTGGTATCATCAGTAATGATGGTCAGTACTGATGTAATGATGATCATTAATGATGACCAATACTGATGATCAGAAAATTATTAGATTCAAGATAAGAGATTAAGTGCTTGTTAATAATAGACTTGAAAACTTTGCTTATAACAGGAAGAAGAATAATGGGGTGGTAGCTAGACAAGTCAGATCAGTCTCCAGAATTTTTGAAAATAGGAATAACAGATGCCACTTTCTAGCAGGTTCAAAAACAAGACTCTAATAAACACTTGTTAAACAGTTTTTAAAGTATAGACGACTGCTCCAGAGAACACTTCTGCAATTCTATAACAAGTCCAGACCACAAGCTGTAGAAGATTTTAAGCAAGTTATCACTTTAGATACAGAAGCTGGAGTGATACGAATGGAGCGCAATGGATCAAACTGTTTGTCAGCTATATCAGGTAGAACATAATTAGTGGAATCAAGAGATGGGATTGATGAAAAGTTCTTAGAGAACAGCTTTTTCTTTAGGTGAGGTAAAAAAATCATGCAAGAGAGGAGGAATAACAAATTTTACCTTATTATAGAATTACTGAGAAGAAACACAAGATAATGTGACTTGATAACAACAAGCTTCGTTGTTAGACAAACAACCTTTTTACAATGGTTTCTAGCAGTAGTAAACATACATCTGTTTTCTGGATATTGTTTTAACAATATATATAGAAGTAATAGTTGTGATTGGAAATTGTAGCAGCACAATGAGAAAAAAACCATGGAGAAGAGTGAGGCTTGACTTGGAATCATCAAGAGGAAATAAAAGATTCTATGTCAGTCTGAATCCAAGAAGTTACATAAGAAGCACATTTTTAAGCAAAAAGGCAAAAAATATCTACCCAAGGGGCATCACAAAGAAACTCACGGAAAGAGTCCCAGTCAGTTTTAAAGTAGTTGTAAGAGAAACAATGATTAGGGGATTCTGATGATGAAGAAGAATGAGATATTAGTTTTAAAGATATCAAACATTGATCAGAAGAATTTATGAATTCACCTAAGGCTAAATATGGAGAAACTGAGCACTGACTAGGATAAAAAACAAGAGATAAGTTAAGGAGAAAAGGTTAATGCCCAAGCCTAGAAAGTGGCTATTAGGGCCTTTACAAATTAAAGGAAAATAACCATCAACATTAAGATCACAAGATGAGACAGCTGAACTCAAATTAGTCTCACAAAGAGCAAGTAGGTGTGTTGAAATTTGCAAGAGATAAAACTCAACAAAAAAAAAGTTATTTTGAAGACCACAAATATTAGCGAATGATAGATTTAGAAAACTTGACAGTGGTTTTTTGTGTTTTATAGTTTTTGATAATTGAGTCATTTTTTAAATTGGTTAAAGATCTTGACTCAAAGTACAAATAGTACTCAGTACACTACCTACTAGCTCAAGCAATCGACTCATTACTATTAATGAACCCTTAGCCATAAGAAAAGGCTCCAAATGTGACCTTGATAATGCACACCAAAAGTTTGAACAAGATCCATGTGCAGCACTGATAGTACTCTGATTTTTTACAGCTGTAATAAAGAGAAAAGTGATAGAGTGGTAAAAGAAAAGAATAGTCTATGGATTCAAACTTAGTTTCTTGACAAATGGGTGAGTTTTTATGAATGTAAATGCCCAGGCCAAGAATCTGACTAATAGAGTCTTTACAAATTAAAGGAAGATAACCATCAACATTAAGATCGCAAGATGAGACACCTGAATTAAAATTTGGCACTAATAGGAATACTATACATGTGCAACACAACACTGTTATTATTTCAATACTATACAGATAATAATGGAAATAACCTCTTTGAGAGCTACCATTTTGAGAAACCATACAACTAATTGGCATCAGAACTAATAAATTTAAAAGTTTAACAGTTCTGATGCTTAAAAAATTTTAACAAAAAAGAGCTCTAAAAATCTTATGTACATTCTTAAACTTTCTAAGTTTTATAACCCTCAATAGAACTAATAAGGAAAAAATAGCAGGTGGTTATGAAAAAAGCATGTGCGAACACCCATAAGTATAGCCAAGGTAATACTAATAACATAATTCATTTAATTAATTAATAAATATGATAAATTTTTATTTTAATATTTAGGATTTTTAATAATAATAATAATAATTTAATAATACTATTCCTATTATATATGAAACTTGTTTTTGCTATATACTAATTTCAAAACAACTTATAATTAAAAATGAAAAAGAAAAACAGATGATTACCATAGGGCATGAAACTTTAAGTTACATAGTACATTTTTTCTTTTTAATTATAATATATAACTATAAATAAATGTATGATATATGTACATATATGTGTATGAATATACATTGTTTAAAAATCCTAATAAAGGCATTTATGATTACTTATAATGAGCATTTTTCTTTCTTTTTTTTTTCTTTTTTTCTGTTTGTTATTTTGTTTACTGTTTTTATTTTAGTTTAATTATGCTTTATTTGCAAGTTTTTTTGTTGTTATAAAAGTGAATTTTATAAACAAAACTCTAATGATTTTGTTTACATTCAAAACTTTTCTAAACTTCTATTTAAAGTTCCATTTTATACATTGAATATAACATCTCAAGACAAATATATATTTGTATATTTTTCGATTTTACATTTAATTAGGTAATAAATGTTAATCTATACTAGTATATGTTAAACTTTTATGGAAAAAACAATGCTTTTATTGTTATAAGAACTTTTTATTTTAAACTTTAATTTTAATGTTATAAAATTTTATAAAATAAGTAGCATAGTTTTTGTTAGTCTCAATCACACAGCATATAAAACTTTTATTTTATATCTTTTATTTTAGGTAGTTGAGTTTTCTTGCAATTTTAAAGGCAAATTACCAAGAAAAATCTGATATAAGACCGATTGTATGTATATGATCAGATATAAGACAACTCTGATATAAGACCAGATGAGTCCTTAACATTATCAAAAAGAAAGTTTTTCAAAAGTATGTCATGTTGGGTCTCAAAAGAAGAAAAATTATACAAAAAATTGAAAAGAGATCAAGATATTTTGTAAAAACATCTCTGAAACATAATTATAATAAAAAAGTTTCAAAATTAATTTTTTTATTTAATGTTAAAAAAAACATATTTTTTATGCAAGAAAATCTTATATAATAATCTGCATATAAAATGTAATAATTTTTTAAATTTCTTATACAATTTTCCTTCTTTTAAGACCCAACACAACATACTTTAAAAATTTTTTCGTTGATAATATTAAGGACTTGTCCAATCCCTTGAATTACTTTTTATTTATTACTTCTCAGAGAGTGGTAGTCTACAACATAAACTGAATTTATTGAAACCTGTTACAGCTCATGCGTTCTACAAACAGCTTCAACTCTAGATCAAAAGAAGCTCCAATTGTCTTATAGTATTATACACAGATAATAAAAGAAATTTTACAAAATCTAGTCAACTAACTATGGTGGCTTTACCTATTTATCTCTACTGCTACATAAGGTTGGCTTGAAAACTTTTTTAAAAACCTGTCATACTGAAATTGCAATAACCTTGGGTCCATCGTGTTCTAATTTTTGTCAACTTTTTTTTGCTTGATTTGTTAAAGATTCTAGAAATGCATTGATATGCACATTTTCCCATTCAGGATCTACATTTTAAGGTTTTTTATTACTAGTAGCTTTCTTACCTTTAGAGTTACTTTTATTTCTATTTGATATAGAAACCGAAAAATAAAGACCTCTGCAATGTTTCTGTCTTTATCAATTGTTACTTTCGATTCATAAGCTTTTTTGGGGAGGTCTTCAACTTCATGAAATGATTTTGGAAATGGAAGTGTTAAATTCATGAATACAAAAGTATTAGCATATGTACAACTATTTTAACCTAAGTTTTGAAAATGTGCTGAAATATATCAAATATTATCAAATTATCATGGTCTACAACACATAAATGATTCAATATCTGATTCTGAAAAAGTCTCTCAGTGTTGTAACTTTGCTAGATTACTTTGTGACAGACTTTTTGGTGTTTTGTTTAATTTCTGATTGTGTACATTTGTTTCTTAGATTAATTCTTTTAACTTTCTTTTAGTTGATTCCATTTCATGTATTTATGAAAAATTCATCAGATGTAAGACATTGCACCATCTTTTGTTTAGTTCTTGGCTTACAAAGCAACTTAAGCATTCTTGTTACCCCTAAACTCATGTGTTTTAAAAAAAAGTGTTCAAAAAAAATATGAAATGCTTAATAATTAGAAACAACTTTATAAAAACACATGTAAAATGACATTATAGTATAGTTTTACTTTTAACTTATAAGTTTTTTTAATTTTGTTTTTTTAATTATCATTATGAGAAAATAAATAGTTATATTTATTCATTTAACATTTAGCACTTGTTAAAATAATTTAAACGTTGACTAAAATAATTTAAACGGTGTTTTTATTTTAGTCAACAGGTGGCAGTAAAAAAATTTAATTTAATATATCGATAATACCCATGCGCCAAAGAAACCCCGCAATAAAATGATTATATCAGGTCTTCAAACTTAACATAAATAATTATATGTTTTTAAAACAGGAGTTTTCCTCTTACATAATGGGAAATGGAATTACCATTAAAATTTTCTATAAAAAAACAGTAAAACTGTTATAAATTTTTATAAATGTTTGATATAAAACATAAACAGTTATGTGCAAGGAAAACTCCCATTATGTTTTTTTGAAAAACATAACTGTTATTTTACTGTGTACATTTTTAATTAAATTAAATACTTCATTCATACAATCTTAACATATCTTTATATATATATATATATATACAATATGCTTATATATTTCATAACATAACCACAATAAGTTATAGTTCATGAATAAATTTTATATATATATGTGGTAGTTGCTTCTTCTATGTTAGTAGCTTTTATAAAAATGTGGTAACAACTCTAACTCTATCTTCACTAAATTTTTAGCATCTTAAAATGGATTTTATTACTTAAATGTAAGAGAAAAAACTAAAAATCTCTATTCTTGTTGCAATGCACCTGTAGAGAGTTTTGTAAAATTTATTCTCTTTTTTTTAATAGCTTGAAACTGCATTAATACAAACACACGATCAGTTGGAGCTAGTAAAAAATTAAATGCTGGAAATGTAATAACATATCTTTTTGTACACTTAGTCTGCAGCCCTTCCATATCACGAAGTCGGAATAAACCCAAGCATATCATGTTATAGGTGCGTAAAGCATACAAGAACAAATCGCCAAAAACTCCACATTCCTAAATTTATTGTATTGAAATAAAATAAAACCAATTAAAATAAATTTTAATCACTACTAATCTGTAAAATACTTAGAGAAAACTGCTGAGCATTTCAAGAATTTGTACTTTTGTACTGTGTGATCGTTTTGTACTATAAACTAATGGAAAGTCTTAAAAAGAACTCAGGTTTGAAAAGTCAGAAAAATAATTATTCCTAGTTCAAAAGTGTAGTTAAAATTATGGACTACTTTGAGGAAAAAAGAAGAACATTTATGGTATAGGAATTATCATTTTTGAACCTGGAATCTTTATATTAAACAATGACCAGGGTTTCTAGCTGAAAATGACAGGACTTAAAATCCACTGTATTTTTTCTCTAAAGCTTCTTTAACTGTCTTTTTTGGAGCTCCTGGATACCAGAGACAAGAAACAAACTTTTTTTTTCTTATCTCTGGTTTCCAAAAAAAAACTGAGTTCTTTTTTGCAACTTCCTATTTATTTCAATGATTTCTCTAAAGCATTGATACTAAGTAAATATAAAAAATATAAAAAACAAAGATTATTGTTCTACATACCCCAAATTCTGCTAATGGGCCATCAGAAAGATCTAATTGTGATATTCGACAACGATTCCTAACTGCCGCAATATCTAAAGTTTCAAAATATCCAAGAGGCTGTTTCCCTTCTGCTAACAACTCATCCAACTCTGAGCTAACACTTCCGGTCACAAGGTTTTGAACAAGAGTCAAAATGTCACCATTAAAGTATGTCTAAAATAAAACATCCAAAAATTATCGTCATCTTTGTGTGAGGTCAAAAAAAACTTTGAAACAAGGTTTAGATAACTGAAAAGATTCAACTGATAACAAAAAATTTCTAATTCAAACAAAAGTGTATATATATATATATATATATATATATATATATATATATATATATATATATATATATATATATATATATATATATATTTATATATATATATATATATATATATATATACATATATATATATATATATATATATATATATATATATATATATATATATATATATATATATATATATATATATATATATAAAGAAAAAATAATATGTATTTTTGGAAAAAGTTGAGCATTAAAATTAGACTTTGACCAAAACTTTGGTTCTGACCGGCAGGATTACACCATTCCCAGTTAGAATAATAACTACTTTAATAATAATAAAAAAATAAGCTGTGGTTAAAGAAAATAATTATGGGTACAAACAATTGGTAAAGATGTTGTCAAGAAAATTGTTGTTGTGACAATTAATGGAGCAAAATTAATTTTAAAACTAGTTTTATATCATTTTTGTTTTATAACAAGTGTTAAACAGGTTGTAACAACAACTAATTTTTTAGTAGATTAAATGTTTAATCAATTTTTACATTATTTTTGTATCATTTTTGTTTTCTTGCTATTTTTTTTTCTTTAATTTAATTTACTCTCAACAAGGCTACAAGCAACTAGTTAGAAGTTAAGTAAGAAGTTGTTAGAAAATAAAGATTAGAGTCAAAAAGCAAGAAAACAGTCAATAGAGGACTTAAAAATATATAGCTTGTATGAGACAAGAAAACATGAAGATGGGAGAGAGTTCCGAAGCTTTGAAGTATGGGGAAAAAAACTACACTAATAAAATATTTTAGAGCATGCAATAAAAGGATGCAACTTTGCTGAATGACAAGTCAAGTGAAAATGAGGAACAATTAAATTTGTATAGGGACAAATTAGCAATTTTTAGAGGTAAAAAATTAAAACAGGAGTATAATAATGTTAAGCATAAAAAAGAGAAGCAACCTCTTTTAGATTATTAAACCTCTGTTAGAGAACCAAGAGAAGTAGATGCTAAAGGTGAAACCGATTGTGTATATGGTTTCCATGATATGGCAGTAGTAAATGATAATCCAAAAAAAAGGTAAAAAAGAGTGGGTGGCCATTAATATAAGACAGTATTGCAATAGCTGTTTGCAATAAATAACTGAACTGTGTTGGAGTTAAAATATAGTAGACACTGCAAACCTTTAGCTGTTACAGAAGTGAGATCAGATTCAAGGTCAGCTGTCTGTTCTAAGCAATCAAAAAGAGAAGACTTTTTGTCAAGACAGGAGTATAAAGATGAGTTATCACTAAATAGAGCCATTTTAGATGTATGAATTTCAATAATTATTTATTATTTTCTATTAGTAAATTAAATTACTAAAATATGCAACAACAGCACATAACTTTAACTAATTTTTTTATAAAGCACTCAATCAAATGCTTTTGAAGTTTACAAAGTATCAGTAGCACACTAATGAGATATTAAAATTTATTATATAAAACAAGTTTTTCATTTGAAATTCATGAGTTGTTTGTTTGTAACCATTAATTTTTCACTCAATATTACTTCTTAAATGTAAACTTGTTTAAATAAAATATAAAGGATAAATATTTTATTTAAAATATATAAAAGATAATGGAAATTTCTAGCATAAAAAAATGTGATTAAAAAAAGATAAGTTGACAGTTACGAAAAAAAATCATTTTACTGATTTATGATAATTTATGATAATCAATAATTTGTTTCTTGTTTAAGTTAGCATTATTTTTGGTTGTTTAAATAAGCACTATAAATTCTTTACATATCTAAGCATAACATACTCTTTTTATATTTAGTAAGTTCAAAGTTTAATATTTTTGAGAAAAATAAAGACATCAAAAAATAAAGATATTTATCTTTTTAAATTTTATTACATGATTTTAATTGCTAAGTTTATTAAAAATTAAAAAAAAAAATTATTTAAAAACTCACCGCACTTACTAATGAATCAAGAACTGAAACTGTAAATATTGAGCCACATGCATATGGTTGAGCCTGATAAAAATGTTCATCATCGTAAATATTCATATCATCTTGATCCAAAAACATTGAGTTGGTATTGTAAACTAGATGAATGTAAGCATATGCATATATATAAACATATATATGTATATATATTTATAAATATATGTTACAGCTGTTTAGTATGCTAATTTTATTTCAGAACATAGCTAATTAAAGTTTTTCCCATTTGACTATCATAATGTGGTGCAAAATTATTTTTTACTAAATTTTATTAACTGCCTTAAAGGTCCCTCAAAGCATAGATAGAACTCAGTACACTGTTTTATTGCCCAACCAATTGCCTCATTGCCACTAAAATATATATATATATATATATATATATATATATATATATATATATATATATATATATATATATATATATATATATATATATATATATATATATATATATATATATATATATATATATATATATATATATATATATATATATACATACATATATATATTTCAAACTTTTCAAAATTTTTCAAAAATATTTCAAACAGTTTTAAGATAAAAAAAAAAAACATTAAAATTTCTTCAACTGATTGTAATTGATAATTATGACACAATTATTAATCAATTATTTAACCATAATAGTACATTACAATTAATTTTTTTTTTATTACAAAAAAAAAATAATTAACTGTATCTATAACTTTTTCATCTTTAAATTCTGTTATCTTTAAGATTTTGAACAGTTAAATATAAATTTTTATGTACATAAAACATACTCTAGTGTAGATATTGTATGCAAAAAAAACAACCTAGAAACTGATTACATTTTTAAAGTTATAATCTAAATTTTAAAATAGTTATAATCTAAATTTTGAAAATATTTTGTCAATATCTTACAAAATAGAGGCTAGAGAGCTGTTTAAACTAGCTGGTCCTGGATTTTTGATGTTCAAGAAAATTAACTTTCAGAGATAGTGCAAACTTGAAATTTTGTTATATTGTTATATTATATTTTACAAAAAAATAACGGTGATTGGAGCCTGGGAACAAGCTCAACCTAAAAATTTAGGTCCCTGATCCCATGTATGGGTGTACATGGGATCACTCATGTGGGTGTACATAAGTGACAGGAGTGCAAGAGATCAAAAATTTTCAAAAATTCAGCTTCTCTATTGATGTCAACTTTTAAAATGTACTCACTTGAAATATTCCTTCGTTTGAAAATATATTTCAGCAGCCCTAAAATATTTTTACAGTAAACCATTACTTTTTTGCCCTCATTAAACTTCACATATCTTTTTCAAAAGATTGGCAATCTTTTGAAAAAAGATCATTTATTGATCATGCACTTCACTTGAAGAAATCAGTAAACAAAGATTTTTTTTTATTTGCATTCACTCCCAACAAGGCTGCAAGCAACCACTTTCAAGTTGGGAGTTACTAGGAAAAAAAAGAACAGAGTTAGGAAAAAAAAGAACAGAGGAAACGGTTGACAGAAGACTTGAAAAGTTGAAGGTTGTATTAGTCAGGAAAACATGAAGATGGGAGAGAATTCCAAAGGATTGAAGTGCGGGGAAAAAAACTAGATGAATAAAAGTTTTTAAAACATGCAGGGACAGATACAGTAAACGAATGAGGCTAAGCTGAATGACGAGTAAAACGAGAATGAATTTTAGTTGATGGAACTAGAGATGATAACTTCTTTGAGCAGTGACCATGATAGTATTTGTAGAAAAGAGAAAGAGATGCAACTTTACGACGATGGAAAAGAAGTTCAAGCTTAGCAGATAGTCCAGGTCCAACAACATTTACAATGCGTTTTTAGACCTTGTCCAGAAGAGAAAGTGAATTGCTAGAAGAACCAGCCCAAATATGACAACAGTATTCCATACAGGGACGAATAAGAGATTTGTAAAGGTAGAGAATGGAATCAGAAGTAAGGAAATGGCGAGCACGATAAAGAGAAGCAACCTTAGCAGAAGCTAATTTAGCAATCGATTGTATATATGGTTTCTATGAAAGGTCAATAGTAAGCGATAATCCAAGAAGAAGTAAAGAGGAGGACTCAGTAAGGGGATTGCCGTTCATTAATATAGGAATGTTGACCATATTACGGTATTTGTTTGCAGTAAGCAACTGGGTTTTTTTAGAGTTGAAATTCACAAGCCACTGTGAACCCCAATCTATTACTGAAGTGAGATCAGATTCAAGATCAGCTGCTTGTTCTAGGCGATCGAAAAGAGAAGACTTTTTGTCAAGACAGGAGTATAAAGTTGAGTCATCAGCAAAAAGAGCTACTTTAGATGAAAGGTTGTCAGGAAGATCGTTTATGTAAATAAGAAACAAAACAGGGCCCAGGATGGAACCTTGGGGAACCCCAGAAGTTACTGGAAATAAAGAAGAGTGTTGGCCTTCAAGGATGACTTTAATAAACCGGTTAGAAAGAAATGATTTGATAATCTCAAAAACTTTCCCAGAAACACCATATGAAGCAAGCTTATGGAGAAGACCAGCATGCCAAACTTTGTCGAAAGCTTTAGATATGTCAAGAGCAATAGCCCTAGCCTCACTGCCTCCATCTAATGCACGAAAAATTCTTTCAGTTACAGCAGTTAGCAAGTCGGCCGTAGAGAGAGAGGATCGAAAACCATTTTTTAAAAAAAACATTTGCTCTTTATGTATGTATGTATATTTGTATTTATGTATGCATGTATGTATGTATGTATGTATGTATGTATGTATGTATATATATACTCACAACTCCAATTAAAATAGGTTGTTTTCCAAACTTTCATTTAAGTTTATTGAAACATTTAGATGACACCTCTATCATCTAAATAAAAATTTACAATGATATACATTTTGTTTTAGAATCATAATTCAAGTTAAATTTTAATTTTAATTTTTTTTATCTAAATAATATTTTTTACTTTTATCTAGTTGCTTCATTAGGATTTCTTTTCTCTCTGTATTACAACAGATGTGTGCTAAACCTGGTCCAATAACATTTAAACATCTTTTACAAATTTTAATTGAAACTAACTTCCAGGAGAGGTACTAACTTCTGTGTTAAGTTTTATTCAACTCAGAACTCCTGTTTTTTTTCTATACTTGATTCACATGTTAAAATACTCCGAACTATAAGGCATATAGCCTTATAATTTATTAATAGTTAAATTTTTAAAGCACAACTAACAATATTACAAATACAACATATAACAGAACGAAAGTAAAAATAATGCAAACAAACAAACAAAAAAACTCATTAATATTCATTAATTAATTAATTTTAATAATTTTAGCAACAAAGTATTTTAACTTTAAAAAGAGGGTAAATTAAAATTTGAGGGTAAATTAAAAATTGAGTATAAATTTAAATTTGAGGGTAAATTTAAATTTACCCAAAGTTAGAATAGTAGTTTGTAAAAGTAAAATAGCAAAGGTTTTATGAACTTCAGTAAAACATTTTAAAAATGAAATAATTATCCAAACAAAGGGCTATTGGAGTTAACAAGCATCTGAATCTGTTTATCATAACACTAGCCATTTCTGGGAAAATGGTTATAAAGCACCCGGCTGTAACAAAAATTATTCTAAAAAACTTCTCCACTCTTACAACTCTTGCCATATTTTCTTTAAAAAAAAACCTTGCTAAATGAATTTATGTATTCATTTATTTTATTTTTTGCATTAATATATTGAATTTATATATTGTAAAAAGTTAGTTTGTAATAGTAAAATATCAAACAGTTATTATAAATTTGTTATGTAAAATATAACTAAAATCCTCAAAAAAAAAGTTGAAAACTTTTTTTTATTTTTTAACAAGGTGATTGGAGCCAACCCTACTCAAAAAATGTTAATAAAAACTTTATTAAATAAAAACTTTTTTTTAGGGTACAAGAGTGATTGTAGTTACCCAACTTTAACCTGAAGTACCTTTCCCTAGTGTAACATACCCTTATATTTTTAAAATTCATCACCAGATAAAAAATTTTTGTTCAAAAGTTATGATAAAGTTATTTGTTGGAGTAAATGATGTATATAATAGAATTGAAATGTTTACAACTTTTTAATAACAAATGATTTACCAATGAAACTTTAAATCCTACAATTAATCTCTATTTAGTTTAAGATTCTATGAAAAAAATTTAATTTATTATACTACACCCATACATGGGACCAGGTGCTTAAACTTTTAGGTTGAGCTTGTTCCCAGGCTCGAATCACTGTAAATTTTTGTAAAACATTGCTATATGACTCCAGTATTAATATAACAAAATTTCAAGTTTGCACTATCTTTGAAAGTTACCTTGAACACCAAAAAAGCAAGACCCGCTCATTTAACTGATTTCTCTCCAGATATTTTTTCCAAAATCTTACCCAAGCACTTTTTCAATAAAAACTTTAACAATATACTCAAATTTTATCAAGAGTATATTAATGATGGAAAAATACTTGGATATCATTAAGTTAAAAAGTTATCTAAAATAATTAAATCAGATGTAGATGATTCAAAAAGACCTGAGACAACAGAAACAAAACGTTTTGAAAACTATTTATATTAAATGTCTATACCTGATTTATAGTTTTTCAGTCAATATATTAAAAAAAAAATGAGTTTGCTATAAATGTTTTTCTTTTTTTTTATTTAAATTTAAAAAATTTAAATTTGCATGAAAAATTTAAACTAAAGCATAATTAGAAAAGGTAACAAAGATATGCCAATTAATGATTTGAAGACTTGAACAAAAATTACAAATAAATTTTAGTTCCTTAGATGGTAGAAGTTTTTACTGTGTAACATTTAAAATATCCTCTTAATTAAATAAATCAAACATCTGAAATGTCATGCAGTTATAAAATTATAAAAATTTTAATGCACCCAAAATTTCTTTATAGGCCACTAATAATAGCAGAAATTTTTAATGTCATTTAAACAATATTTATGGGTTCCCATTAAATTCATTGGAAAATAAAAAATTTTTCTAAAATTAATTTATTCATAATGGTTTAATTTTTAATTCGTAAAGGTATTAATAATACCAGCAAATTGTATATCACTAGTGTTATTAAAGAAAAAAAATTGTATATGACAACTACAGTGGCATCGTAGTAGTTAGAAGTTGATGTTTTACATTTCTTTTGTTGTTTTTTTTCTTCATTTGTTCATGGAACCCTTTCTACTAACATATTAAAACAGTGTACAAAAAGTGATATGTTATTAAAGTCTAAGTTCTACTAATGTAGAGCTTTCTAATATTGCCAGGCAAATTATTATAAAACTAATGATTAGTCTATAATAATTGATTGAATTGTGAGATGAACTGGTATTTTGGGAACCCCTGAATATTATTTAAATGACCTTAAAAATTTCTTCTATTATTAGTGACCCATAAAGAAATTTTTTATAGGGACTGCATTATATATATATATATATATATATATATATATATATATATATATATATATATATATATATATATATATATATATATATATATATATATATTCCATCTTATATATATATATATATATATATATATATATATATATATATATATATATATATATATATTCCATCTTTCTACATATATATATATATATCCATCATCTACATATATATATTCCATCTTTCTGAGGCAGAGGGCTTTTTTTATTCTTCGTTTTATAAATTTTTAACTGATTTTATTGGATGTTGTCAAAAAATTTGAGTAAGAAAAATGTTGATTACATCTGTTGTTATTGATTATTGGTTTAGAAAAGTTATTTTTTCAGTTTTAATTGTGCATTGCACAACTACTTTCAATTTTTTCAAAGTTTCTTTGGTGCATAGTTAAACAAACAACTAATTTTTTTGTAAAAGCTGAGAAGCCAAATGAGTGTTTTACAGTCAAAGATTTCAAATTAGAGGATTTAATTAAAGGATGGCTTAGGGAGGCATGCGATAGAGATGGTAGAAGAAAAGCTGATTGTCATGGGCACTAAATATCATTAGCTAAACATGATTTAATAACAAGTAGCTCAGCCAATATTGAAACTACTCCATAAATTTTATAGAGAATTTTTTTATTTAAAACTTAATGTGTTAGTTTTTGGTTTTTGTTTGGAGTTTGCAATATGTTTATTTAACGAAGAAATTATGTAAATTAAATAAAATCTGATACTTGTATCATATCCAACGTTGCATAAAATGTTGACCAATATACAAAATTTATTGTTGAATTCAGTATAGAGCTAATTAATAATAACATTGGTGCGATGTTGTATACAATATTGGGCCAATGTTGTATACAACATTGTTTGGGCAATGTTGTATTTAACATTGCCTGAACAATGATTAAACCTGCATTGGGCCAACACCAAATTTTAATGTTGGGCCAATGAATCTTTATGCTACATTAGGCCTATGTCATGTAACTTTGAACCATACATTGGTCCATACATGAAATGTTGGGCCAATGTAAGCTTGCTATCTAGGACATTATAGAATGTAATGTCCTAGTTGCTATCTAGGACATTATAGAACCATTTCACTAGTTTTTTGAGTTTCAATCAAAACCATAATTTAAAGACCAAATTATTTTTGAAATAGTTCAAAAAAAGTAAATTATAATTAATCGTCTAAATATTTGCGAATTTGTATAACTTTATAGTTAACAAAACTTAATTATTTTGAGATATTTGAAAAGCTTTGATAAAGCTTAAGAAGTTTCAAATAAAATAAAGAAATTTAAATTAAATAAAACTAAAAAAGAAAGTTACTTACTTAACTCAGTAATAATTTTTAGAGTATAAGTCTCAGAAGTTTCTTTAACAGAGAAAGGTTTTGTTTGAAAAAAACTTTCGGAGCTATTTTTTTCTACACCATTTTTTTCAAGTAAAGTGATTGCATTTTTAGATAACAGATCCTGAAAATCATTTTCAGTGTTATCAGCTGCAAACTGCATAGCTAAAATATAAAACATAAAAAAATATAATAAAATAACATATAAAATATAAAACATAAAAAAATTTAATAAAACAATATATAAAATATAAAACATAAAAAAACATAATAAAATAGTATATAAAAAAAGGATTAGAGTTAAATAATAACATTAAAAAAAAAAAAAAAAAAAAAAATTATATTTTATAATTTAGAAATTTAACAAAAACATTATAACATACATATTTAATTTATTTTATTCTACTTGTCGTATTTTGAATTAAAAATTTATATTATAATAATTATAATTATAAAAACCTTTTAAATTTAGTGTAAGTAAAATAACTTCTTTGTCTGAAAGTGCTTGATGTTCCAGTTCACCAGCTGATTGATTTCCGGGAGATAATAAAATGCACATGTCTGCTGTTTGGACATTTACTGATCGAAGATCGTGACGACTGTATGGCGAGCCCTATAAATTTAAAAACTTATACATACTTTTATATATTTATAAATTAAAATATTTATATATACTTTTATATATTTATAAATTAAAATATTTATATATACTTTTATATATTTATAAATTAAAATATTTATACATACTTTTATATATTTATAAATTTAAATACTTATATATATATTTTTATATATTTATAAATTTAAATATTTATATATACTTTTATATATTTATAAATTTAAATATTTATATATACTTTTATATATTTATAAATTTAAATATTTATATATACTTTTATACATTTATAAATTTAAATATTTATATATATTTTTATAAACTTATAAATTTAAATATTTATATATACTTTTATATATTTATAAATTTAAATATTTATATATACTTTTATATATTTATACTTAACAACAACTCAAATATATAACAATTTTTATATTATTACGACATAAAAGTATGTTGTAAAAAATAATTACTTACTATTACTACACTAACATCTGGGAAGTTTGCCAATCGCAACCACTATAAATGTAATATAAAATTATTTAAAAAATGATATTCTTTTGCATTATGTTTTAATTTCAGAAACTATTTTTATTAATAATAGTTAATATACTTTTTTAGGCTTTATTTATATCATTTCAAGATGTTTTCATATAACCTTTATGAAAAAAAATATATATTTAAAATATAAAAATAATGTATTTCTATAAGTTTTGATAAATATTATTTGTTATATAAATAAGATGACACCTTTTCTAAAGTTATGCTTTCTATTTATTTTTAATAAACTAAGGTGTAGATATATGTAGTAGTTCTATTGGTTAAGTTATTATATTGGCTAAAGATCAAGTCAAATATAATTAAAACTTAATTACATTTAATCATTTAATAAGGAAATTATTTATTTATAAATTGAAATTTTTTTATAATTTATTTGAAAAATGAAAAATTACAATCTCAAAAAAATAATTAGGTAAAAATTTTTCTTTACCTAATTATTTTTTGAACACTTTCATTTTAATAAAAATCATGGGATGTGTTGAGTAAAAATCATTCTTATTTTGCTCATTAACAGAGCTTAAAAGTTCATAGAGATAGATATGGATATCGTTGAGATTGATATAGATATGACTAATATTATTTTAAAATTCATTAAAAAAACTTTTTTTTCTTTTTTTTTAAAAATAACGTAAGCAACAGAACAAAAAAATTTCAAAATAAATAATACAAATTTGGTCACAAAAATGCTCATTGCCCAACACTACTTTGATAATAGTACTCATAATATTATTGACATGCCTATATTGATGAAATACTATTAATGAGTCTTTTACATTATGTCTTTTTGGATTAAGTGCTTGTAATTGTTAAAAGTTCATTTCATAGTGTAACATTTTGCACTTGTAAAACTAGAAATATATCAGTAATATTTCAAAAATATATTGGTAATATTTCAGAAATATATTGGTAATACTTCAGAAATTATCAATAATATTTCAGAAATAAATTGGTAATATTTCAGATATATATATTGGAAGTATTTTAAAAATATATTGGTAATATTTCAGAAATATAATGGTAATATTTTAGAAATATATCAGCAATATTTCAGCTTATTCAGGCAAAAGTGAAGTCTTGTGACCAATGATGACTGATGTGTGTATTAGAAATCTAAATTTAAATTTTTAACTTAATTCAATAATCAATGGACAGATTATTAAACATATAAATTTAAATTTTTAGGTCATTTCATTGGTAGATGACATTATTAAATACAAAATATATAATTTAAAGTTTAAATATAAACTTTTAACTCAATTTAATGATGGATAACAAATTATCAAACCATATGTATTTTGTTGTAGACTTATTCAAAGTATAAGATTTTCATTTTGTTTGGGAGCAGCTTTATCAACACAGTCTTTGATTTATATTTTAAAAATCTTCTGTAATACTAAAACATTTGTTGTAAATATTTTAAATTTATATTTTATATTATAGTACAGTTTTTTTTTACTTATTGCAAAAAATTGTTAATCAACACAACCTCTTTCTGTAGAAAATCTCCATTGCCTAAAATGACAATTTTTTTCAACATATTGGGTACATTATTGCTTGCACGTAATGGCAGCACCTAAATTTTTAAATTTATAAAAATGTAAAAAAATATCAAAACATCTATTTATGTATATATGTGTTTTGAACACAAGAATAAAAAAAACAAAACTAAAAAAAAAGAAAAGAATTTTAACAAAAGTGAAAACAAAAATAAAATAAAACTACAAAAATTGAAAAAATAAACAAAATAATTTGTTAAAAAAAACAATTAAGTTTAAAAAAATTAAATAAAATAATAAAATAATAATTATATACAACTATGAGTATTTTTAATATTATCTTATTTCTCAGTAGAAATAAGATAATAGAAGAAAGTGAGAAAATAAATTTATATTTATTTGTAAAATATATTTATTATTAAATATAACAAGATTTTAATGTTAAAAAATTAAAAATTTGTTAATACTAATTCATTAATTTGGTGGTATTCACTACACCCCTTGGAACAGTCTCTTATTGCTGAATTTAAATTAATTATCTGGACCCAAGACTTTTGAAACGTTATGTACATGTAATACATGTACATCCATACATCTGTACATACATGCATACAGAGGTGTGAAAAGTATTAAAATTAACAACTTAAAAAGCATAAACAATGGCTTTGTGTAAAACAATTTTTTAAATTCTTTACATTATTTAAATCAAACACTTCATTGTTTTAGTGTGCCATTTTAAAATCATTTCTTAGATTTTAGGGTCATAAACATTTTTTTCATACATTATTTAAGGCAAAATCAATGAGTTTTGCAAGCTTGTTTATGCTATGAAGTTCTCTGAATGTTGACTAATTTTATATTTTAGACTGGATTTGTATAGGAGTTTGTGTTAAGCTATAAGAAATTCTGATGGTACATGACCATGTGACATAACCACTATAGATGCACTCCTGAATAAACCCAGTCTAAAATATAAAATTAGTCAACATTCAGAGAGCTTCATAGCATAAACAAACTTGCAAAACTCATTAATTTTGCCTTAAATAATGTATTAAAAAAATGATTATGACCCTAAAAACTAAAAGAGGAGCCTAAAATTTAAAAATGCATTTTAAGTATTAAATGCAATTTAAGTATTAAAATCATGCTAACTTAAACCTAAAATTAAAAAATTTTAATAAACTAGATAAAATTTTAAGTTTCTTTGTACTGTCCAAATGTAACTAGTAACATAAAATAAAAAATATTTTTTTTACTTGTATCCATTTTTAAAACCTAAACACACATTTAACTAAAAAATCAGTAAAATTTGTAGATGATACTAAAATTTTTCACACTGCTACACATATCCATACATACATACACACAATACATACATACATACATATATATATATATATATATATATATATATATATATATATATATATATATATATATATATATATATATATATATATACACATATATATGTATAAATATATACACATACATATATATATATACAAACATATATACATACATATATATATACATATATATATATATATATATATATATATATATATATATATATATATATATATATATATATTATATATATATATATATATATATATATATATATTTGCGTGTGTTGTGTGTTTCTGTGTGTGCTATATGCTTACTTTATGTTTATTAATCAAAAAATCTTTTACCAATTGACGCAGTTCAAGAGAAGGTGAAAACCTATTGGACAAAACCAACACTACTACATGATTATGAAAATTCTCTTTAGCAGCTTCCTCTAATGTCTAATAAAAAATTAACTTTTTACTTGTTTACTACAAATTTGTTAAAATAATTAAATAATTTGATTTGCTACTCATTTATTATAAAAACTTAATTATAAAAATACATCTATTATATTAAAAAATTATAATCTTAAAAATATCAAAATATATAAAATGTAAAAGGCCAAAGTAACAAAACAAATAAAACAAAAAATTTACCATTTTAGCAGCCTCAAATGGTCTGCTTTCACACCAGTAAAATGTTCCAGTTTGATCAAATTTTGGTTTTTCACCATTCGGAAAATAATCCTCAGTCAATTGACGAGCGCTGATGAGAAACATATTTTTATACTAAAACTTAAAATAATTTGTAATAAGAAATAATTTTGTTGATAAATACTTTACTTATTTTTTTCATCTTCTTCTTCAATAATAAGTAAATTTAGAGGATCATCTGATTTATTCTTAGCAGTTTTTACAATGATTCGATCTAAAGTATAACAATAAACCAATATTTTTTATACATAAATATTATAATTAAGTCTAAGTAAAATCTACGAAATAAGATAAAGAAATAAAAATGTAAAAGTAAATAATAAACATACTTCTTCTGCATTTACATTTCACCATTTTTTCTGGATCAATTAAATCTTTATGACATGCTGAACAATAACGCAATGCTCTATCACATATTTAAAATATTTTCAACATGGAATTATATTGGACATTTTATAATCATGCATTATACATTTTATTATCATGCATATCCATGTTTTAACATTAATGTTGGATATCAAATGAAAGTAAAAAACTTGGAGAAAAAAAAAAACAAAAAAAAAAGCTAAAAATACAAGGAAATAAAATAGTCAACAAATGATATTTAATTTATTTTATATAAAATTTGAAATTGAATATTGAAAAATAGTAAATAGTTACTAAATAGTTAAAAATAGTAAATAGTAAATTATTTTTTTATTTTAAAAATCTAAAATTCATTATAAAAAAATTCATAACCAACAAAGCTCTCTGTAACCACTGTTTGAGTTAAAAAATACTAAATTTTTGTATAGCTACACATTATACAAAATAATCAAAAATTTAAAACCGTAACAACTTAAAAACTACTTTACAATATATATGATATTTTTTATAAATGTTTTTGAACAAATATATGTAATAAACATACATACAGTACATTCAAAAAAACTTGCAGATAAAAAAATTTGAACTTTACCAATATTTCAGCACAAACTTTACTAAAGCTAACTTATTCTATACCAATTAAAAGTGGTTTATATTTACTTTTATGTTTTGTACAAATATTGATAATTTAATCAATGTTTTTTAAATGATTTAAATAATTTAAGTTTAAATGTAAACTTTTAACTCGATTTGATGATGGATAACAGATTATCAAACCATATGTATTTTGTTGCAGAAATATACAAAGTATAAGATTTTCATTTTGTTGGAGAGCAGCTTTATCAACACAGTTTTTTATTTATATTTTAAAGATTATTGATAAGTTCAAAAATTTGCGGACAGTGTTTATATTTAAAAATTTCTGGGCAGTGTTTGTATTTAAAAAAATAAGAATTTTTAAAGATGTTTGATTAAAGTTCATTAAAAATACAAAATCAAACTACTATGCAGGATTATTTTTACAATCAGAACAGGTTCTGATTGTAAAAATATGCCTTGTAGATGCAAACCGAAGAACAAATTTGCATCTACAAGGCATAACGTTAACTAAAAAAATGCAAACATCAATTGGAAGTGAGAGCAATATTTTTTTAATTTTTCTAAATAAATTTCTATAATATAATATTTGATGATCAACTTGTTCCTATAAATATTTAATAGGATCTTATTTCAACTAAACCGGTTAATTAGGACTTCAAATTTATCAACTTCAAACAATTTTACTTTTTTTGAAGTATTATTAAAACAATTTTCCCATGTGTTTGGGATTTCATGATGGTATGTGTTTTCATGATGGTATGTGTTTTCATGATGGTATGTGTTTTCATGATGGTATGTGTTTTCATGATGGTATGTGTTTTCATGATGGTATGTGTTTTCATGATGGTATGTGTTTTCATGATGGTATGTGTTTTCATGATGGTATGTGTTTTCATGATGGCAAATAAAAAAAAAAAAAAAAAAAAGGTTGTCTTTATTGTTCTTTTCTCTGTTTTTATTGTGTTTGCTATTTACTATTTTCGTATTCCAATCCAATTTCTTTTACTTCCAATTCATTCTCTTAATTCCATTATTCACCTAAAACTCCATTCAATAACTAAAAAATAAACAAATCCTTAAAGAATTAATTTATTAATGTTTCTTTTGAACTAATTTAATTAATTCTGTAGTTATAAGCAAAATCTATAATCTAAAGTAACTATAATTAATAATTATAGCTACTTATAATTACAGATTAAAGTGTTGAAACTCTTGATTCCAATTCTCTATAAGTTTTTTTTATTTTTGATTGTATTTTTTATTTTTGATTGTATTTTTTATTTTTGATTGTATTTTTTACAACAAACATTCTTAAGATTTTTGCTCATTCTCATTCGGCAAAAAAAAGTTTTTTTTTGTAACTCTTCATTTATGTTAGCTTTTATTAATCTACCTTTTGGCCACTTAATGGAAGTTCCATCTTTTAAAGTTCCATAATTTGTTGTTTTACAAATTCATGGAATCTATCTTTGTGTTTTTATGTCTCATACAATTTAAGTTTTCTGTTTACTATTTTATTTCATCTCTCTATTTTTCTGTTAACTCCAAACTAAAATTTTTGCTGCCTTGTTAAGAGTAAATTTGTTGAAAAAGTTGGAAGCAATAGTGGTTGTAATAGTGGTTGCTTGCAGCCTTGTTGGGAGTAAATGCAAATAAAAAAAAAAAAAAAAAAAAAAGATTTGAATAAAATTTATAATAATAAGTTATAGATCAAAAAACAATTGAACAAAGAAAAAAGACACAATTATTTTTTATAAAATATAGACTTTTATTTATAATGTATTTCATTCAAGAACAATAAAGAGATTTATAAAGTATGGGAAATTTGTTTTAAAAAATAAAATAAAAAAATGTCAAACAAGTTAAGCTATTATAGATAATATTTGATTGAATTTTAGCTCTATTACTATGGAAACAAGTGGCAGTCAAAATAATAATTAAAAATAATAAATAAAAAAAGAGATTTTCTTGGATTATTTTTCATTTTGTATAAAAAAAACATACAAAGCATAAAATCAAATTTATTTATATTAATTTAATTATTAATTTAAACATTTTATTTATTTAATTCAAAGTTACCAGTTATAGTTAATTAAAAAAAAATAACTGTTTTTACCTTTCAACATCAAAAGCATTTTGACATATAAAAAATCCTCGTGTATTTCTTGTCAACCTCAACTTTTTGTCCATAGGATTTATGACAAATCTAAAGAAAATTTTGTACTTCATAATTTATGACAAATCTAAAGTAAATTTTATATTTCATTTTTTTTATGGTTTATTATCACTATGTTTATTGATTATTTATTATCTTTAAAGCTAAAGGAACTCTAATAAATCTGAAAAAAATTAAGTGAAAAACTAAAATGTTCCAGTACTAGTAAATGTTCTTTCATTTAGTTTTAAATATATCAAATGAAAAAAACATACTGTTTTCCATTCTTTGTTTTCAATTCAATTGCAATAAGCAACAAATTCAATTTCTCGTAACACAATCTAATAAACAAGAGTTTTTAAAAATAGACCCCACTAAACTTTAATAATTCTCTTTAATACTGACTAAAAATTTTAACATAACTATATCATGTTAATAAGATTTTATAACCATGAAAAATATCTCCCGTATTTAAAAACAAAAACAAAAAAATACTTTGAGGGAGAAAGTGGAGGAACGGTGTTTGTGTGCAAGGAATAAACATGAAAAAAGCTATATATTTTAAAAAAACAGCAAAAACGAAAATACTAATAAAAAAGAAAATATCAAAGCATGTGGAATTAAATTATTGAAAAATGTTTTTTAAACAATTTAAACGACAATAATTGCTTGACATATAATATGTGTAGTGTGTGCTCTTGCACAACAAAAAATACTTTCACAGTTTCAAAAAACACATAATAATAATTTTTAAAACAATTATACCATATTATTATAAAATCATGTTAAAAGACCATTTTTAAGTTAGATTAGATAAAATTAACTACAATTGACTAATAATGATCAGATAGATGTTGGGCTGGGAAGATAAGCAATTTAGCTTGCTTTCCTACACAATTATTGCAGTTTTTTGATTTCTGTACCTAAAAGCAAAAAACTGAACTATGAAAAACTATTATGAGTAATTTGAGCTTAGGTGACTGATTCAATCACTAAAATGAACAATAATTTGTAAAAGAGAAAATATTTAATTATTGTTTGTATTAATTGTTGTTTACTATTGCACCCCTTCTCTATCTCTCTTACCACAAATATATTTAGTTTCCTGTGCACTTATGCTATACAATTACATAATACTAATGTGTCTTAATAGACACAGCAAACTACTATTGTTAATCATAACAATTAGTAAATGCTAAATATATATATACTAATATTAGCCTTAAACAATATTCAATTAAATCTTTATTTAATTTCAGATATCTCTACAATAATACAATAATTAAACTTCCGGTGCTGTCTTTGAATTGAAATTTGTCTAAAAAACTTTCATCTTTATTCTTTTCAAAACATCTTTTTCCTAACCAGACCTCAGTGAGAAGCAAGAACTTTCATCTTTATTCTTTTCAAAACATCTCTTTCCTAACCAGAAATTTTAGTATTAATAATGTGAATATAAATACTACATAACTATAATACTAGGAAGGGTACTATATATACTATAACACTAGGGAGGGTACATGAGGATTTTTTTTGAGTTAGTCTTACTTAAATGAGCATTTTCTGAAGCCAAATTCCATGCTAAACACAAATCCACCAAGCATTTTGCTGTATTACATCATTTGATTTTGGATTATGGCCATTTTGAAAAATGTTTGCTATAATGACAATTTTTACTTAGGCCCCTACATCTTGATTCAGATTAAACCTTGTGATTTGTCCTTTCTAGTTTACCAGGTCCAAGAATTTGAATTTCAATGTAAAATAGACATATCAAAAATGGTTTATTTTATATGTGGATAAAATGCTACAATTTGCAACTATAAGACATTCCAAAAGTTATGAGATTGATCTGTAACTCAAATCAACGTGATTCAGAGGCGAAATGAATAAGCCACAGTTTGTTCTTATATATTCATCACAAACCAAATCATTGAGTATTTATTCAGTAGCTGAAATACTTTATGGTAATCAATGTTGTCAACAAAATCATTCACAGGCTTGAGAATGTTTTTTATAGAAATTCTCAATTCGCCATGAGTGAACTTCTACATTTTAATTTGTCCAATTTTACAAGTCTTCTCTGTTTGATATCAGTAAGACGCAAATAACATATTTTTCTGAGAAGCTGACTTTCAGATAATGAGTCTAATATTTCAATATCAGACTGTGTCACAGTTCTGGAGGACTTTTTACAATCTTCCAGCACTTTAAAAGTTTTTAAATGTTTCTGCTTTTTCAGTTCTTCTATTTATGCAATAGATAGTTTTCAGACAACCTGAATGGTTGCTTAAAAGTCCTTTTCTAGTTTTCTGGCCTACTTTACCTCATCAGACATCCTTGCCCGTTTCAATTTCTTTCTCTTGTCCTCGCATGCAAGCTTGGTAAAGGATGAATTACTGAGTAGACCATTTGTCATCACTACATTTTTTCTGGATAAGGTAGTGACGGTTGTGGAGCCACCTTATATTTTGACTTGGTTGTCAAATTTTGCGAATTCTGATTCATACCCTAGGTTAATGAGAGGTACCAGTTTCAACATTTCACAAGTGATATCCGGATTTTTGAAGAAGCCTATTTCAGATAACTATCTATTAAGCATTTCTAATACTTCTTCCAGAGTAGCCTAACTTTTCTCAGCTTTCAGATTTTTAAGTTCAGGAATTTTGGTTTCAAAAAATGTTTGCACACCATTTCAAGATGGTTTATTTTATGTAGAGATTTTATGTTCATTCACTCCTTGAAGATCCATTATTGGAAATACCAAGATATTGCCAATTTCAGCATAGATTTTGATGCACAACTAAAACCAATAATTTTGAATGTAAGTAGATACTGTCAGCACTAACTTATTAGAACTTATGTCAACCACCTCATTGAAAAACTGCATTATTAACTCTCTCTATTTTATGAAATATTTGTGATTCTTTCGAATTGGTTTGAAATCCACAGAACTGATTCTTAGCATTCAGACATTGTTTGTACTCATTGTAGAGAGAGACAGAACTAGCCGCATGGCTAGGCAACAAATATTTAGAAATAGTGATTTTCCCAAGAGTGTGAACGCTGGTGCGGGGAGAACTGAACGCATCAGGACATCAGGACCAGAGGTCTCACTGTCCAACTCTGAGGTATTATCAGATTCTTCTAAGTCACTGGCAGTGGATCAGTTCTGTCCAAATACTATGTTCACTGTAATCACAATGATTCCAATGAGATCATTTCTGCTCACCGTTCTCGTAGTAGTCTACAATGCACTGAACTGTGCACCATACTATCCATTAATTGACAGTGCGATGACCAATTCATACATTTATTTTTGGAAACGAACAATGATCTGGCACAGAGGAGCCTGCCATTGAGGTAAATATCAATTGAAAATCTGATTTTTGCTTTGTCACTGCAGATGATAGATTGGATTTATCCAGATTCATAGTGAGAAGTTCAAATTCAGGATCAGAGTCATTGGGAGGGCTGCTGTCAACATGTTCTGGTGATGCAGGATATGTCAGTTTTTTATGCAATAGTGGTCATCAAGTTGTTGTGTTTTTTTCTCAGCTGATAAAAGTCTCGTTTCTTGACGGAAGTCTTCAGCTGATGAAAGTCTTGTTTCTTGTTTGCTCCACTTCCCAGACACGGTGTCGAGACACATAAAAGTGTAAGACCTGAAACAGTTATTTTAATAGAATAGTTCATCTTCTTCGGTCATGTCCCACCAAATTATTGCTCCATTTTCTTTTGGTACAACTTGTCTTTAGTACGTATGTCATATGCATGTTTGGTTATGCTGTTGTTGAACTCATCAACTTCTGCTATCATTTATCCAATTTATTATGATTTTTATTTCTTTCTTGTTTGCAGAATTTGATGAACCTCTGATAGTTAGTGCAAAATTGCTTTGCAAAATTATTGGAATGTAAAGGATAAATGTTCTTCGCAATCCAATCTTCAATGAATTTGGCTGCTACAGTTTTACTGGCAGCCTCTTGAAACAGAGTCTTCTGTCCTGGTTTTGTGGTGCACAGGTGAAGCATTTGACCAACATGTGTGCTTCAGTCTGGAGTTTAAGCCTAGTGATGAATTTTTCCTGTTTGCTGTAAACTTCATCGAAGAGGCATTTTACAAGACAATTGCTTCTTTTATTTACTATATTTGAAGAATCCATTGTAGTGTATGTTTTCGCTTCTGGAACAGTAGTGTTTTATACTGTTATTTTATACTAGTGCGGACGTGACAACTGTCATGTGTACTGTATGTGCCTGCGTGACTTACTGCACAGCTCACTTGGTGAGAGTATACATTTAGGAGAAAGCAGTGCAATAGCGCAAAAAAAAAGAAAAATAACATGTTCTTTAAGATTACTCAAACACCTTGACAGATACAGTAATCTAAGTGTATTTTTTGAATTTCCCAGCCTGAAAAACATTACAAATGACATATATTAGGCCTGTTTTAAAGAAAAATAATAATCTGCTTTGAAAAATGGCGATTATGGCTGCCATTTTTCAAATGTTTAGAAGAGCAGCTCTAACGGCTTGTCATGTTCGTTTTAGGAGAGCTTTCCTCTGCTATTGCACTCATTTACTCCCACTGATCCCTTTAAACTTTGTACTACATTAGCTACACTAAAATTACTATTTAATTAAAGACTAAGAATTGTTTGACCACTTGCTGTGACATGATCCTTTAAGTATTTTCATAGTTGAATATAAGGAATGTGAAATGAATATAAGAAATTATGAAAATCAATTAAAAAATTAATATTTGAATTGTTGTTAACAATTTAGATACCAAGAGGGATTGTATAAAAAAAATGTTTTTAAATATGTATTTTAATTCATATGAGTTACTATTATTTTTGATAACATAAAATAGGTATACTTTAAGAGCTTTAAAGTTGACTTGAATAATAATTTCTTGCAGCTGATTTTAAAAAAACAACAATATATTTATATTGAGATTTAATAAAAACATGTTGATCAAGTTCATGCATACTTGCATGTATGCAGACATGTATGCAAACTTTAGCAATATTTAAAAAATTTATACATATACTTGCGTGCTAAAGTCTTTGGTCAGACTGTGAATCATCTATAAAAAAACAACTTATGCTTATTTATTTCATCAGTTTATTGTTAATACATTTCTCAACAGAATTTTAATTTCATAATTTAACAAGATTTTACTCTCATCAATATGAGCACCTTTAGTGCGGTTGACAGCCTTACAGAGATTTGGCATTTGAGAGACTAACTTATCTAATGTTTCAAAACATAAGTTTTTCCAGGCATCTTGGAGACATTCCCAGAGACTATTTATATTATTTGGGAACATTATGTGTACTCTTCTGTTCAGGTTATCCCATAATTTCTCTATGGGGTTTGTATCAGATGATTGTGGAGGCCAAGTCATTGTTTTAAGCATTTTCTGCTTTTCGTTTGTCATCAAATAATTTGAACATAATTTAGAAGTGTGTTTAGGGTCATTATCTTTTTGAAAGACAAACCCTTTACCAGTATTACAAATATTAGATGGGACCGCATGGTGAATCAAAATACTAAAGTACACATTTTATCCGTTTTTTGTATTCATTTGTCTTGAACCAAATCACCAACTTTTCCTCTTTTAAAACCACCCCAAGTCATGACATTACCACCACCGTGTTTCACTAAACAACTCAAACAAATATCATTAACATGTTCACCTACCAATCATTAGACATATAGACGTGTTCTGGTTCCAAATAATTCAAACTTTGATTTATCAGTCCATAAGACTTTTTTACATTGATCCAATGTCCACAAATTTATGATCTCGTGCCAATTTAATCCATTTTTGCTTATTTACACAACATAGCTAAGGTTTTTGACACACTATACAACTATTTAGTCTAACTCTACATAGTCATCTCATATCTGACCATATCATTTAGTTGAGTTGGTCTCTTAATTTTTTTTCCTAATTTTGTTAACAAGTTTATTACACTTGACCTTTTTTCAGTCTTTTTGCTATTTTATTACACAGTATCCATTTTCCGATAAAATTGGAATTTTCACACATAGCTCAATTGAATATTCTGTTCTTGATTTCTTATTTCAACTCATGTTCGAACAAGTCTTGTTAAAAAAAATCTGTATCAAGTTGTTTGTATGCGTACAAATTTAGAAATATATATTCATACAGCATGTATTTCAAATAAACTCCATTATTCTAAATAATGTAATTTACTCAAAATATAATTAAGAAAAGTTTAAATGCTAAATATGAAATATACTATCAACTCATTAAATACAAATTCACTGGATCAAACTCAAGACTTTTATTATACTAAACTGAGTGGCTTTTATACATACGGAGAACTTTCTAAAATAGACTCAAAATTAAAAATTATATTCAGTAATTACACAAAAAAAAAACGTCTTAAACTCAGTATTCAAACTTGCATTCTATAATAGATATTATTATGACATAACATTTACATAAAAATTTAATTAAATTAAAACAAATTTCAGGCCTTTACATATATATACATACATATATATATATATATATATATATATATATATATATATATATATATATATATATATATATATATATATATATATATATATATATATATATATATATATATATTTATAAATATTATAAATATATATATATATATATATTTATTATATATATAACGAGTTGAGCGCGGTATTACCAGGAACATGGTGGGGATCGAACTCGGAACCACTTGTTTATGAAGCGAGCGCTCCACCACTACACCACTACCGCATTTGATTATATATATATATATATATATATATATATATATATATATATATATATATATATATATATATATATTCAATTATTTGAAAAAAATACTTTGCATTTACACCTTTAGGTGTAAATGCAAAGTATTTATTTCAAATGTAATCTTAAACCTTTTTCAAATCAAAGTAATCTTTTATACTATTATTATATACCTTACACAAAAATGTGAACAAGTGTTGAAAGTGTATAAAGATTTTTACTTGTTACTTACAATAATATAAAACAGGGTTTCTGACCTAAACATACACAAAGATATAAACAAGGTTAGAAAAAGATTCAAGCAATGGATGTTCAAAAATTACATCGACTGAAATCAATATATGATATGTACATGATATGATGACAAAAATAATTTGTGAAAAATGGGTGTAGTATTTGCTGTCAATTGACAGCAGATGCTGCACCCATTTTGTGCATAAAATTTTGTGCATTATCTGCATACATTAACTGATGTGTTTTTGTGGGTACCATATTTATATTCTCATATGTTAATTGATGGGATTATTAAATGATAATTATTTTACTATTATAACTTATATAGTGCTTTATATAATTGCTTTTTTGTAATTATATTAGAAATCTCTACAGCTTTTGTATACTTTTCTATTTTTATATGATGAAGCTCTACAGTTGCTTTAGATCAACGATGCTTTTTATTTACATAAAGGAAATGTAATTAAAAAAATTAATAGCAGAAACTTTTTTCAAAACTTTTTTTGAATGATTTTGATGAATTTATTTCATAATTCTTCAAAAATGCTTATTTAATAATATTATAGGCATCTAAATTATGTTATAGGCATTATTTAATAATGTTATAGGCATCTAGCTCATTTTTTAGATTTTTAGCTTGAGCATTTAAAAACAAAGACTATGGAGCTAATTAGCAAAAAATCACGTACTCAACAGCTTGTGGAAAGGTCATACCAACAAATGAATTAGATAGATAGCTTGAATACATTTCATTAGCAGCTCCTAACATATAAGCAGCTTTCCATTGCTCACATTCTGAAATAGCCTCTTTAATCTGAAATTTAATTTATTCAATAACATAAAATATAATTTTTCTAATAAATATAATATAATAATATTTAAAGCGTGATAGTGATGATGATAATGATGATGATATAATTATGATGAATATATATATATATATATATATATATATATATATATATATATATATATATATATATATATATATATATATATATATATATATATATATAGATATATATATATTGTGTAAGTGTATTCTACAAATAGAGTGCTCAATGTTCTTAAAGAGCAAAGCAATAATAAATTAAAATAAAAATTAAATAATTTAATTTATATATATATATCCATATATATTGGACCATACCACATTACTCCGCATTCCAAATAAATTTCCAACCAGCGACGAAAAACCAGGTGCATTGCAATTTTGAGCCATAAATCCAAGCTTAAGTTCATTAATGCAAATAATGGCATCACCATTTTCTATACTCCATTGTGGACAATTCATCAAATGTACCTAATTGATTATTTAATATAAAAGCATGATAATTTAAGAAAAATTATACTATTTCACTAGAAATAAAAATTTACTTTGTTGCGATTCATCATCAATTGTACAATGCAGCGAACACGTTCATGAAAGTTTTTAACAGCAATCACTCTGAAAAAAAAAATTAATATAAGTATATATATTATTAGATATGAGTATATATATATATATATATATATATATATATATATATATATATATATATATATATATATATATATATATATATATATATATATATATATATATATATTAATGAGTTTAATAGTATAATGATATCCATATATAAAAATAAAAATATACCATTTATGGTGACACACTATTTATTGAACTTATTAAAATTTATCTCATTAATTTGCTTTTACGTTATATCCATTGTCTAAATTAATACCATTGTAAATTAGGGAACAATGATGTTTTTGTATCTCTCACAGACTTTTAGCCTCCACTATAAGTATTTTCGCTTTTTTCCACTCAATGTCCTCATTGCAATTTACTCTATGTAAAGCTAATGCAGACTGGTTTAATTTGCAAAATCAAAAGTTTATGGTTATATTGAACCCTAGTTCATATATGAAGTTTTAATTCACTGGCATACATTTTGGAGCATTTGCACTTAATTAATTAGGTTCCTGGTTGGTTGTTGTATGTTAGTTTTGATTTATTTTTTGACATTAATAGCGTTTTCAAGTTAGCATTTGATTTAAAAACAGTTTTGTAACCAGCTTATCTAAATATTTTTCTAAGCCTGGGAGATATTATTGGTATCCATGGTAAAGAGATTGTAGGAAGGAGTTTGTTTGGATTTCATTTTTATTTTGCTACACATTTTCAGTTATATTATTTTGAACACTTTTTTAATTTAATTACTTTAAACAGAAATTTATCTCATCTTGTAAATGATTTTTGCTGCATATTGCGCAGGCTATGAGTATGTATTCGTTGAATATTGATCATGATTAGAATCAGGTTTGATTTGGATATTGGTAATAGCATCTTTCCTGTAAACCTTGCACTTATACTTTCCGTGTGTATTATTAATTACAGTTATATTCAGAAAATTAAGCATGTTATTTTTGTTTTCAACTTAAATAGTATACTTTAAAGAGGGATGTTGTCTGTTTAGGATTGTTAGCAATTGTTCTGCTTGTTTTAAGTTAAAAAACCATGGCATAGCTATCATTCTATAAGAAGATTTAATACCAATTGAAAGAACCATTATCATTGTCATTGCCATTTTTATTGCATTTTCTTCATGTTATTTTAAAAAAGGTTCATCCAAAAGCAAAGTTTGTTTTGATCCAAAAGTATCAGGTATTAACTATATATATCTATGTATGTATGTATGTATGTATGTATATATATATATATATAAATATATATATATATATATATATATATATATATATATATATATATATATATATACATATAAATGTATATATATATATATATAAATATATATACACATATAAATATATATATATATATATATATATATATATATATATATATATATATATATATATATATGTATATATATATATATATATATATATATATATATATATATATATATATATATATATATATATATATATATATATATATATATATATATATATATATATATGGCAATTCTGTGAGAAAAAGGAAAAAAAAAAAAAGCAAAAAAGTTATGAAAACACGTACTAAACTTCATAACTCTTTTTCTTAACAATTTAAAAATACTTTTAAGCAAAAGAGTTACTAAAAAAATCATTTTATTATACCATAACATGGTTTTATAACTATAAAGATTGTAAAAACGTGTTTTAATGTTTATTTACAGTCCTGTTGTGTAGCGTTAAAAACTGTATCATAAAACCATAATTGAGAATTTTGACAATGCTATAATCAAAATGTAATATAGTGTATTTTTTAAAGATAATTTACATGGTTTTAAAAATTCATTTATACTTTTTTTCTTACATCATTGATTGGGTCATTTTATGTATTGTTTTTTAATATTGGATTTTTGTTTCGACCATCATGGTTACAACCTTTACAACAAAAAAAAACATAAAAATGCTTGTAAAATTATAGGTAAAAACTTTGAAACTCAACATACAATAATATCAGTATGTGCTAAATACCACATCAAATGATTTTTTTTTAACCATGCCATTCACTACATAAAGTCTGACAAAGTTGTACTGTTCAGAAGTGGTAAAAAGTAAATGATACAACCATTACGCTATATAGAGTTATACATAAAGTTATACATATGCATAAATATATATATATATATATATATATATATATATATATATATATATATATATATATATATATATATATATATATATATATATATATTTACATAAAGTTAAACTCTAATGCTGTAACTTTTGCATAATAAATTATATGCTAGTATTTCACATTTCTGGAGAGTTTCAGATCATTTCCATTTTCGGTTTATTTCAAATAACTTAAAGAGTGTCAGATTGCCCATATATATATATATATATATATGTATATATATATATATATATATATATATATATATATATATATATATATATATATATATATATATATATATATATATATAATATATATATATATATATATATATATATAGATATATATATAGATATATATATATATATAATTTTTTTAAATAGTAGTAACCAAGTAACATCATCAATAGAACTAAAATGCTCAATGTACCTAGTAATATTTGCTGCATCTTCTTCATCTGGATTGACACATTTCTTATTACACAATACAATTACAGCATCTGAATTTTTGATCTAAATTAAGAAGAGATTTGTTACTAAACAACAGATATTCACAACCCTTTCAATGAAATCTTTTTTTTTACATAACTGGAATAAACATTTTACTAACCAAATTAAGTAATATTATTGATAGCACTCAGTATGTATGTATGTAAATATGACATACATACATATATATATATATATATATATATATATAATATATATATATATATATATATATATATATATATATATATATATATATATATATATATATATATGCCACATACATATGCCATATACATAAATTAAATATGCATATATTCTTTGTTCAATAGTTAATTTTATTAATCTTATAGTAAAATAATTAGTAAATGAATTCATACCTTTACTCTGTTAGCATCAACAGAAGAGTATACTGTTCCCATAAAGTAACATGCTCTGGTTTCAAACTTTTTAAGAGATGTTTGGATGTTTACATCAGGAAAAGACCTTTAAACAATAAATAAAAATATCCAAATAATAATATGATTTTAAAAAAATTCTTTTATTATTTTTAAAGGTTAGGTATCAGATTTTATTCATAAACTTAACTAAACACAAACATGTGATTGCTTATTAACATATTTTGTCTTGGTTTCAAAATAATACTTTTTGATTATTAAAAACTAATATTACATGTGGAAAGGTTTTTAGAAATAAAAAAAACAATTGTAAAAGAATTGGAACATTTTTTATTGAAGTTGAAATTTTTTATTGAATAGTTGTGTCCTTTTTATCATTTGTTTACTTAAGAGTATTGGTATCACTGTTTCTCTTGAGAACATTTAAATGATGTCACTTATTAAATATTAAAGCAACTTATCTTGACATAAATATATTGGATTATAGAAGACATTTTGTATTTGTTTCAAAATTTTAATAAATAATATGAAAACAAAAGATATACATTCTCTTAATTGATTGTATTATCAGAATATTTAGTACAATTTACAGAATAAAAAACTGTGATTTAGTTGTACAAAATTCAAATCCAAATAAACTTTACATGCATAGTTTTAGGTAGGTAACTTTATGACAGACATTTATTGCTTCAAAATCTATCTCTGATAAGTAGCATGAATTAATGAAATAACAAGTAAAACTAAGAAAGTTAAAACTCAAGATCAAGATGCTGTTTCAATAATTTCCATTCCATTCAACCAACATTTTTTACCTCTTAGACACATATACTTTTGCGATTTGTGAGCTTTTTATTATATATTTGTTACATTAACGACATTTATATATTTTTATGTTACACAGGTGATTATCAGTTCTCAATTTTTTATCTAGAGTTTAGTACATATATAGTACCACATTTATTAGACACTTGCATGGTGCGATTATTTTAGTTATGAAAACCATTATAAACCAGCGGATTTTTATTGACTTGTTTACTCATAGATCATTGTTTTATCATTTGCTAAAAGATGACTAGAGTGTGAGTTTATATTCCTCTTTTCCTGAGTTGCTAACTTTTATTCCTCCTACTAAATAATCTTTACATTAATTTATGTTTTTTTACCTAAATGACATCATCTTCAATCTGTTTTTATTTTCACATCTCCCAGGTCTATGTAACTGGACGGCTCCGTTGGTCACTTTTTGCGATCATTGTGTCGCATATGCAAAAAAAAAACAAAAAAACAAACAAACAAACAAACAAAACTCAAGATCAAGATGCTGTTTCAATAATTTCCATTCTTATTTGTACATCAAATAAAAGTTTCAATAATTTCCATTCTTATTTGTACATCAAATAAGAGTTTAACAATGTCATGTTTGTTTTTTGATGGTTTTGATTGGTACTCTAGTTTTTTTGTTTTTTGTTTTATGAAGCAGATGCATATATTAGATGCTTCCCTATGTAACTTTTTATGGTCTTGTTTTAAATACTTTTATATATAGATAAAGTTTTAAATACTTTAGAATTCATTTTTAGTTTAAATAATCCTTTTTATATGTTTGTAATGCTCAAAAGTTTTCAAATTTGAAAGTTTTTATGATAAATGTATGAAAGAAAAATATTTTGGTGTTTTGTTCTGTTTAAATTCCTAATACTACATAAAATTTACTTTTGACAATTACATGAATAAGACAACACAGGAAAATACACAGAGAAGCTTCTTTATATAAAAAAAAAATTTAATGTCTGGATGCATATTGCTGCTTAAAAAACTCAAATTTCTAGAGTAACATAAAAAATGGCTTTTATAAGAAATAACTAAAATGTGAACAACTTCACTTTTGATTGAATGTTTTTATAAGAATAAAATGTTTAAATAATAAATTTTACAAACAATATTGTATTAAAAAATAATTTTGAAAAATTTTTTAAATACATAAAATGAAACATTTCAAATTATTTGAAAAGTTTCTTTTACTTTTGTAATTATGCAAATCAATGATTTAATAGAATGATTTTAGAACAAAACAAATTATTAAAAGCAAATTTTTTTTTTTTTTTTTAAACATCTTCGCTTCCAACAAGGCTGCAAGCAACAACTAATTAGTGTTGGAAGTTACTGGAAGAGAAAAGATGAAGATTGTAGAGCAAGATAACGATTGACAGACGACTTACAGGATTGCAAATTATATGAATTAGGAAAGCAAGATAAAGGAAGCCAATTCCTAAAAACTGATGTTCGAGGGAAAAAACTAAATGAGTAAGAGTTTTTGGAGCACTTAGGAAAAGTAACAGAAAAAAGGTGAGACTTGATTGATTGACAAGTAACACGAGAATGAATTTTAGTAGATGGCACAAGAGACGCTAGCTCATTAGAGCAGTGCCTATTATAGTATTTGTAGAAAAGAGAAAGAGAAGTAACATACGACGATGTGACAGAGGTTGAATAATAATAATAAGAGGTTGAAAAATAAATGAGTTTTAATTACAAAATTAAAAAATTTTTTTTTAGAATGATCTAGTATAGTTATACATATATATATATATATATATATATATATATATATATATATATATATATATATATATATATATATATATATATATATATATATATATATATATATATATATATATATATATATATATGTATATATATATATATATATATATATATATATATATATATATATATATATATATATATATATATATATATATATATATATATATATATATATATATATATATATATATATATATTTCCAACACTAATTAGTAATTGCTTGCAGCCTTGTTGGAAGCGAAGATGTTTAAATATATATATATATATATATATATATATATATATATATATATATATATATATATATATATATATATATATATATATATATATATAAATAGGATGTTTTATTCATAACTTGAAACCATTATATCATCTCCTCCATGTTTTATAGTGGATTTAGGATCATATTTTGTACTTATTAGATGTCAAACAAACTTAATTTGATCTTATTAGATGTCAAACAAACTTAACTTGAACTTATTAGATGTTAAACAAACTTAATTTGCATTTTAGTTTATCAAGGGTTTTAAACTGGGTAGCTTTTAAATATATTTGCATGACATAAACAAAGTTTTGTAGTAAGAAATACTTATGTATTAACTTTCAAGTTACTGCTTATATAAATACAAAGAAAATAATAAATATGATTTTTATAATTTAAATTAATTCAATTTATTGTAAAAAGTTACTATTTACATAAAGAAGAGGGAGAAACTAAACATGCGAAAAAAAAGTGCAATTACTTGGATTGTGCTATAACTTTGGGAAAATTGGATATATGGCCAAAAGATATTGAATTTATGTTTTGGAACACCGTAGCGGATTGCCGCCAAGCAATAAAAAACACAGGCAACAACTAAGCTGGATTCATATTGACAAATCAAATGAGAGCGTTTCTTGCTGGGTTTGCCAAAAGTATCCAAATATTAGCAATACAACCAATTCAGTAACAATGGGATGTAAATTTTGGAAAAGAACATATTTGTTACGCCACAATAAAGATGATAGGCATAAAGCCTGTATTTCTAAATATCGAGAGAACCTTCACAATATAGCTCTAGGTCTTGAGAAAACTGTATTGACATCAATTTTAAGAACTACCGAAAATAACCAAGAAGAATTGAACAGACTTTTTCGGATATCGTAATTTGTTATTAAAGAGGATCTTGCATTTAAAAAATTTTCTCAACTGTGCAAGCTACAAAAACTAAATGGTATTAAGTTAGGCAAGAACTACTTAAGTGACAAATCTTGCAAAAGCTTTGTATCGTCAATTTCTTCTGACTTAAAACGCGAATTAAGTTTGGACGTTTCAAATGCTCGTTTTATTGCAATTTTATCTGGCGGTTCCACTGATAAGAGTATTAGTGAACAAGAAACAGTTTTTTTAAGGTTTGTTAAAAATGGTAATCCAATAACTATATTTGCTGGTATTAACTCACCACTGACAGTTGATGCTGATGGTATATTAAATGCAATAGAATTTGTTTTAATATGTTTAACAACAGACAAAATGAATCAAGATTTAAATTTAAACAATATCTATGCAAAAACTGTAAATGTTAACTTTGATGGTGCATCTGTAATGTCTGGCAATAAAGCTGGTGTTCAAACTAAAATGCGAAATAAAAACCCCAGTATAGTATATACCCACTGTGTGGCGCATAGATTAGAACTTTCTGTGTTAGACTCAATAAAGTTTGATATTTATTTAAAGAAGTTTGATGACAACATCAATAGTTTGTTTCGTTTTTACTACTATTCATCGCAGCAAAGAAAAGAACTGAAAGAAATAGCTTCTTTTTTAGATGAGGACTTTAAACAGCTTGGGAGATTGAAAAATATTCGTTGGTTAGCTAGCCGGGAAAGAGCGTTAAGGTTGGTTAAAACTGACTATAAAGTTATTATTTATGATTTAGAAAGCAAGGCAAACGAAAAAGACGAAACTGCACAGCAAGTTAAAAGATTTTTGTGTTTCATGAAAGACCCACAATTTTTATTTTATTTACATTTTATTCAAGATATTGTTAAATCACTAACAACATTATCATTGGAGTTTCAAAAAGAAGAAATTTTAATTTGTGAGATTTTGCGTAAAGTTGATGCAAGAATCGCTGTACTGGACGCATTATCAGTTAATCCAGGCTCGAATATTGGACGTTTACTAGATAATTTAGAAGTAAAAGAAGATCAGTTAATCTATAAAGGTATTGATTTAACAGCATTAAAAAAGCGTAATTTAAAGAGAATTAATGAGTTAGTTAGACAACAACCAAATGATTATTTTGATTATTATAATAAAAAATATTTTATTAAAATTATTGACGGAGCAAAAGAATATATAGACAAGCAATTCCGCCACGATTTCAATCAAGAACCATTAAAATCTTTAACCACAAACTTTGATTGTCGAAACTGGCCAAAATCCTTTACTGGTTCGCTAGAGATAAAAAAAATGGGGATTTAATGAAATAA